TATATATATATATATATAATAATAATAATAATAACTTATTCACTTATATTGCGCAAATTTCATAAAATATGTTCAAATGACGCATTACCGAATTATAAAGCTAATTAAAACGGATTACAATTGACAATTGTCAATAAAATCACAACAGCTTTCAAAGATACCATTTAGGCTGAGCCTAACTGTTTCAATATCAAAATTCATGGTACAAACATGTTTCAGCAGTTAAACTGCCATCTTCGGTGTGAAAAATTATTATAGGCGCTTAGAGTATTTATAAGTTTTAACGAATGCAGTGAATTGTCATGGTAAGTAGGCTAACTGAGGCGTATGACCTCATCAAACTACATAAGAAAGGAGACCTCAGTAACGTGCGAATTACAGAGGGATACCGGTAACTCTTCTGTCAGTGCCAGGAAAGGTCTTCAACAGGATCCTTCTCGAGAGAATGAAAGGTGCAGTGGACCCCCTCCTCCGAGACCAGCAGGCTGATTTCCGCCAGAACAGATCATGCATCGACCAGATTGCCACCTTGCGCATCATCGTTGAGCAGTCCTTAAAGTGGAACTCATCGCTGTATATCAATTTCGTCGATTATGAAAATGCGTTTGGCAGCATTGATCGTGAGACCCTCTGGAAGCTGCTACGCCTTTATGGAGTGCCAACCAGACTGGTCACCTTGATCAAGAACTCCTATGAAGGAATGACTTGCCGGGTGGTTCATGGCGGACAGCTCACAAATAGCATCGGGGTGATAGGACTGGAGTCAGACAAGGTTGCCTCCTGTCGCCTTTTCTATTCCACCTGGTGATTGACTGGACCATGAAGAAGTCAACAGCACATATAAGAAATGGAATCCAATGGACTCTATGGGATCAGCTTGAAGACTTGGACCTAGCCCTGCTTTCCTATAGTCACCAACAGATGCAGGACAAGACAATAGAGCTGGAAGCCACCTCATCACAAGTTGGTCTCAAGATCCATGAGGGCAAGACCAAGATATTCAAGATCAATACGAAAAGTGAGGACCCAGTCACACTGCATTGAAGCAAGCTGGAAGAAGTGGACGCCTTTACATATCTGGGCAGCATTATTGACAAGTTAGGGGGCACAGACGAAGACGTCAAAGCAAGAATTGGAAAAACGAAAAAGAGGACGGCCAAGAAACACCTGGCGACGGGACCTTAAGGCAGACAGCAAGAAGATGGGACACACTTGGAAACAACTAGCCCAGGACCGAAGATTCTGGCGTACTGTTATTAGTGGCCTATGCTCCGGGAGGAGTGACGTGCGTAACCCCATTTTCAGAGTAGATACATGCCAAGAGTGGGAAAACAAAGTATGAAAAATTTGGGTAGCGGTATACTACAGTTACTGTAAAAGCTGATTGACTTTGATAATAAATAGCGCAAGTAAACATCAGGCATCAAATTGTTTGGTATGACGGTATACCCCTCTCCCCATATGACATTTTAAAAAACATGTTTAGACCAACTTTCCTGAATTTTTCATTGCATTTTATTGCTTTTTAGACGTTGTCTGTGTTTGTTCTTTACTCCATTTACTGTGCAATTTAAAATCGTTTTTATGGAACCCGCATGGATTGTTACTTTTTATGGCTTATCCTATTAATCAGGGTTGTTTGTTGCACTTTTGCCTTTCTTGTCCTGTTGTTTTAATTACATGATTTATGAATGAATTCAATTCTAACTAATCAAAATTGATTGGAAATTGAACTTGAGAATATTTCCAAAATTATTTGCCAATGTTCCAAAAGATAATGGTTCCTATGTTAAGATTTCTCAAAAAAAAAAAAAAAAAAAAAAATAGGCATTTTAAATTTTTTATATATTGCTCTGCTTATGCATCCAAATTACAGAATTTATTAATTACAGAATTCATTCAAAATTGTGGTATTTTATTTTTATTTATTTTATTCAATTTCTATGTAGATCTATTAATATAATAACCCAAAAATTAGACTTGATCTGCGAAAAAATTAGAAAGAAGCAGATTTCAACCGATTTGTGTAGGGATACATACCAGGATACACCAAAAAAAAGTTAGGTGGGCTAGGGGGTGGGAACATTTTTTTGAGGGGTCAAAGGTTATTGACCCTGGTCTAAAATACTAAAAAATGTATCAAATACAAAAAATAAATAAATAAATAAATAATAAAAAAAAAAATTAACAAAAAAAAAATTTTTTTAATAAAAAAATAATAAAAATAAAAAATAAATAAATATAAATAATATAATAAATAATGATAGAATGAGAATAAAATACTTTGAGGGTATATAAAATAAATAAAAAATAAAATGCTGAAATTTTCTCATAAAAAAAGTTTGAAACAAATACAATAAAATATAAAGAAATCGTCAACGAAATAACATTCATGCATTTAAACTGCTGAATACAGTATATCAACAAAGAGTCAAGGTAAATTATTTAAAACTGTATATACATTTATATAGGGCGATGTATGCAAATTAAAGAATCGTGAGAAAACAATTCCACACTGATGCCTAAAAAAAAAACCCAATATTTCCAACAGTGCTATGCTATATATTTACCCAGTCAGCAGCATGCTGACTGGGTTCTGTTTCCTAGCAGATTCTTCCTTCTTTCTTTACCCAGTCAGCAGCATGCTGACTGGGTTCTGCTTCCTAGCAGTTTCTTTCTTTCTTTACCCAGTCAGCAGCATGCTATGTTTCCTAAAGTTTCTTTACCTAGTCAGCAACAACTGACTGGGTTCTGTTTGTTAGCAGTTTCTTCTTTCATTCTTTACCCAGTCAGCAGCAGCTGAATGGGTTCTGTTTCTTAGCAGTTTATTCTTTCTTTCTTTCTTTCTTTCTGGCAACATTTTAAAAGGCTACTAGTGGCAAACTACTAGACCGATTTTATCAAAACTTGGTCAGTAGGACCGGTGCCACCTCCCATTTATGTGTTGTTCACAACTTTGGGTCAAATGTCATATTAGGGGCATTATGGTCAAAAAACAAAAAATCGTATAATGGTTAATGGTTATTAATTTATAGAGCGCAAAATACAAAAAGTCTCTAAGCGCTATCAGGAAAGTGTAAAGATGGAACGGAAACCAAAACCACAAAATAAAAAGAAGTGAAATTTGAATACCATGCCAGCACCCAAACCGAAGTATGGGGATACGCCCTCATCGCTGGCTAGGGTTCAATCTAATTGAACCACAGTCAGCACCTGTTGAGTCTCGGCCATCTCGGATTCGGGCGCCTCCTATCCTAGTTAAGGCTATAAAAGCTAGCTGGCATGGAAATAGAAAAAAAAATAATTAAAGGGACGAGAATAAGTGTGTCTTAAGTCGTTCTTTGGAAATGGTGACAGAAGATGACTCACGAATAAATAAAGGTAACAAGTTCCACAACTTGGGCCCAGCAACCATGAACGATTGCTCCCCACAAGACTTTAACCGAAAGGATGGACAATAAAGATTGGTTGAGTCAGTTGTTGACGAGTGCAAAAAAAAAAAAAAAANCCACCAAAAAAAAAAAAAAAAAAAAAAAAAAACTGTCTAACTGACTGTCTCACAAATAACGCAGCACAGTCTTGTCCTTTGCACATATGCATTGGCATAAGGCAGAGTCTATAGGGTGTTCAGGGATAAGGGTCAAAGGTCATTAAGGGGTAATTTTTATCTTTTTCCGGCAACATTTCTAAACGCTACTAGTGCCAAACGGTTGTGCCGATTTCAACCAAACCTGGTCAGTATAATCGGTGACATCTTTTATACATGGGGTGTTCACTGCTTGGGGTCAATGGCCACACAGGGGTCATTAGGGTAAAAAACTTTCAAAAAATGAATAAAAGACTTCTTCTGTCACAAATATCATAGCACAGTCTTGTCCTGGGCACATATGTATTGGCATAATGTAGGG